TGTTAAGAGCTCTACTTGCCATATTGCAGTTTCCCAAATACTAACGTGCTAGTACTAGTAGTATTAGCGTGGGTGAATGCTCCCCATCGCGTGATTACTGTACATCGTCATTATATCCAATGATTATTGCAGTTTGTTTCCGATTATACATAATATTTACGTTTACCATTTTGTTTCTAGTTCGTTTCTCTTTAACTTTATAGCTGTAATACTAATGAAGCCAGCTAGCGAATAATATAGGTCTGAAAGTGTAAAATGTGTGGATATTTAAATATTTTATTGAACAGATTTCTTTAAAATTTGGTGTACAAGTATACAGGTGTATACAAAATAAGATACGGGTAGAGCCGCGAACTTCGAACTTCTGTTAGTAAGTAGTCAATATTTTTACGAATCGATATCTGCTTATCTTAAAACTCTGCAAAAATAATAAAAAAAAATTCACACTATATTTTTATAAGCAATTTGTAACAAGCAAGTTACATAAGTTTATACTGATAGTTCTGTTGCTATCAGGATAATAATACTGCTCGTGTTCTAATTCAACCAAAATATATTTTCAGGTCAATGGAGCGCATCGTTCCGCGGCGCGTCGCGGCGCACTGACGAGCAGCGAACTACAAGCCGTCGTTGCTGATTCTGAAAATTCTTCGGTTGTATTCTTTTCTGCCCTTCTCTCCCCTTGTTCCTTTATCTTCGCTGTGTCATTTACGCATACACAATAAATATTATTTCATATCTCAACAAACTTCGCTCAATTTCGTTCAAATGTAAATAAAATAAATTTTCAATTGTTAAAACCGCACACTACGAGTATTGTCGCACTATCTGTCTGTAATACACACACATAAATGCCTACTTATTGCAACAGAAACAAAAGATCTTATTTTTTATTTATTTCTGTATTTTTTTTGTTTCTGTACCCATGTTGTATGATGATGTCGTAGTTCTGCCGTAAAGCAGCTGTATTGTACGACTGTGAGATTACGATAAAATAGAGTACGTAGGCACCGCAGCAACATACCTCTAAGCTATAGTAACTTACTATAACTCCCATGTGCTTCGCAGTTTTATAATGAACATTGCACTGTACATATCTACAGGCAACGGCTACCACTGTCCATCAAGCAGTCCGACAGCTCGCTTGATACTCCATAATTCCAAGCATTATAATATTATTACCTAAGATACGAATTTCGACATCTTGTAAGCTTGACAAATGCAACATCTTATCTACAATGTTTCTGGCAAATAAATATCATTTCATTTCTTTATAATATTGGTATGTTATTATTTATTATTGTTGTTTTTTAAACGTTGGTACGTGACAACGGTCTGTGTATACAGGGCACAGTACATTATTGGTAATGGCTTCACCACACACGTGCACATGTGACCTTACGTTTGGATCGCATAGAATTTGTGAAGACGTTACAGACGCGACTGCTGCATACGAACGCAAATATTGACGTTGAGTGATTGCACTCGAGCGAGCTACCTCCCCCCCCCCCCCCCACCCCACCCGCGCGCTCCCTCCCACACCGCCATCCCGCCACCCACGCGAGCGTGAACGCCGCCGCCGCCGCCGCGACGTGACGCGCCGCATGTCAAGGACTCATCGTCACATCTGACAAATAAGTGCATCTCCACACCAAGAATACCACACGAGCACTCACCCACCTACACGGCCGGCGGACTCGTCACTTTCATGTATTTAATAACTTTTTTAATAAGTTTGCATCCTCCTTCTGTGTATTTTACCGTCCATAAAGAATTGTTCCATTTGATTTTGATGATCAGCTATTGATTGATGACCTACCTTTTACTATGTCAATTCTCGTCATCGAATTTTCTTATAAGATATATTTTTTATAAGTTTTTTTTTTTTTAAGTTTTAGGAACTCTTTTTGTTTGACTTAATATTAATAAATAATTAATTAAACAATTCAATTCGACTGTATTTTGTAGAATATGTGTGATCCGATTTTGTTGATTATATATATATTTTTTATTACAGAACGTTTTGTCTCGTGTTGGCCGCAAGCTGCTTTCGTCAGACTAAGATGGTTTTGAATGATAATACGAGTATCATGTCGTGATCGTGATACTATAAAAGATATATATGTACAAGTATACAACATTAAGAACGTTATTAATTTAATTTTTTTGGAAAACAGAATAGAATAGAAGTTGTTTTTTTTTTACAACACAGGGGGCAAACAAGCGTGCGGCTCACCAGATGGTGAGTGACTACCGCCGCCTATGAGCACCAGAGGCATTGTAGGAGTACTGCCGGTCTTTTAAAAAGGAATATGCTTTTTTCTTGAAGGTTATGATGTCGTATCGGTTCGGAAATAATGCTACTGAAAGTTGATTTAATGAGTGGTTGTGCGTGGAAGAAAGTGCCTAGAAAAATGCACGGTGGAAGACTGCCACTCCAGATGGTTGGGATGAAACTTTATGGCTGGTTGTACGGTGTCAGAAATCAGCAACAGGTATCAATTTCAATCAAATTCCTCAGAGCACTCCCCGCAGACACAGACGCACACAGAAATGCAACATCTCTACGCAGTTTCAGTGGGTCGAGTCAGACAGTAAGGTAGTATTGTATTTTCTCCGTAGCATCCTCGCTTAATATCAAGTGGGTGACTTGCGTCGCCCGCGGCCACGACAGCGCAGTGCACGCATCACGGAGCTACGCGGCCCGCGCGCTGCCTTATTGCCGCTACCACTATACGAGTACGTGCCGTAGAAATTTCATCTACCAATCGACAAAGTCGTTACCATATTATAGTATTTTATATATCTTTACCAAGTTTAAATTATCGTTACTTTTCAACCGACTTCAAATTGAAGGAAATTCTCAGTTCGGTTGTAATTTATAAACCAATTTAGATTTTTTTTCTACTTAATAGGATACACTTACTTGGTTTGTGATATGGTAACGTGACTTATGACACGGTCCACGAACACAGCAAAATGTATGATTTCGTCATATTATATCACATCATATAACAGTTAATATAAAACAATATTGCAACTAGCTGAGGCGAGAGTATCCATCATGTACATAATTCTGAAGTGCCTACACCAGTTTTTTTTTTTATAGAACTTAGAATGGCAAACAAGCTGACGGCTCGCCTGATGGAAAGTGGTAACCGTCGCCTATAGACATGAGCAGTACCATGGACATAACACAGTATACTGTTTCGCCCATGATACTCCCCATGCGTTGCCATTCCTGAGGACTCAGGTGTTATTCCTCTGTACCCAGTAAATTCACGCCATATCCCACTCTTCAAACTGAAACACAGCCATGCAAACACAACTGCTTCACGGTTGAAACACGAATGGGACAGAGGTACCCAAGCAATCGACTTTTGTACAAAGTCTCCCTCTGGTAACAACCATTGACGAGTGTGTTATGCTCTCCGCCAATCTCTCTCAATGAAGATTTCATAGAAATTTTATCAAAATCGATTCAGTAAACTTTTTAATAAAAATAACTAGTTTTGCTACAATTGAAGTACCGACTAAGAAAACCGTTTCTATTAGGGAATACAGTTTAATTTAAATAAATTATGAATATATTTTTCCAAATGGACCCGAATCGTGGAGCTAATTATTTGTAGAGCATTACAAAGCGTTATCATTTATGAAGCTTTCAACTCTCCAACTGAAAGGCTAATTTAAAAGTTTCAATCGGTTTCAGGCGAATAATAACAGGGAGGGGCGCGCGGCGCACGAGCCACGTGGCGCGGCTTTAATCAACCGCCAGCCGAGCCATTTATTATTGTTTTTATTCTTACTTCGACGATTCTTCCCCGTCAATAAGCGTGAAACTGCTCGGTTCCATCCGTCATTCGTCGCGTTGATAAATTCGAATTTATCATCCGCTCTCGTTCGCCGTTCTCCGTCCCCGCACTCCGCAACGCTAGTTGCGTAATGGAAAAAACATTTTACACCATTTTCAAAACAATTTGATATTCTATTTAACGACCGAACTACCTACGTATCGATGGGTGCGAATTGTGATTCAATTATACATACTTTGTTTACAGAGGTAACGTGTGTCAGTTAGTAAACAGCCTTAGCGTGTCTTTGTATCGAGTTTTATCATCTTTGAATAACAGCGTAACGAGACTAAAACTGTGTTAACGGGAGGAAACAATATTGTAACTAAAAGTTCAGGATTAACAGTTACACAATAATATAGGATTGACAACGTCCTTTTTAAAGCCGCTTAATATCGTTGTACCGACATTTGTGGGCTGCGAAGGTTGCGTTTGTTCTGATCGAGAGACAGCACCAGCTCTAAAGCCTCCGCCGCACAGTGGCCAGTATTTACTATTTAATTTTTTACTATAGCGGAATTATTTTATTCTCTACGTTGTAAATAACTTCAGACATTCGTAACAAAACTTTTAAACAATTTCTTTTTGTACTAGTTATTTAGACCTGTGCAGACGAAGGACTTTTTGGTCGCAGCCAATTCAATATTGTTTTTATACCACTGAGGTGGCAAACAAGCATTTTATCACAGTTGTACCTTCACGGACTTGCATGTGTTATAGCAATCAAAAGTTTGTGATTGATTGATGTGAGTATTTCATTTAGATGAACATGCACGCTGAGCTTTGTCCCTTAGTTTCGTGAGTTTTCAAAGTAACTAGGTACTTAGCATTATTGATATTTTTAGAAAATACTTATACTTTTCCATAAAAAAGGTTTTATGATAAATACCTGACCAGATTCGCCGTTTAGGGCATTTTCTAAGGTTAATTTTATACTACAAGTAGTTCCCGTGCAATCAATTTAAAGATTTCTGTGTTTTCAATAGTCGCATGTCTACGAAGTTCTCTAAGTGGCATCAATCACGACGACATACTACACACCTAGAGCTATTTAATATACCTGTGTAAATGTATGTCAGCATATTGTAAACACGAGTAGCTATATAGGTAGTACACACCGTCAGCTCGCCAGTAAATAAAACTACATTCAGTTTAGTTCGTAAATTTGAACTGTGTTTATTTGGCGTTCCATAAATTAGGTGGAAACGAGGGACGGGACAGTTCATCAATGATAAACACAATACGCATTATTATTGCATACAGAGTGAAGGGTCATTTCGTTGTGCGCTAATTTCAACTCAATATCAATTGTCGCTAAGTTTCGTTTTAATAAGATACAATAAGTTGAAGAGAACACATTCGGAACGATCATTCTGTATGAGAATAATATAAAGGAATATGGCACGCTTCGAGGGTGTCGATCCGTCGCCCGGCGCCCCCGCTGTGGCGGCGGGCGCGCTCGCGGTCTGAGACGGGCGTGATTCAAAAACAATAGTACGTAAAAATCACTTTTAGTAGTAACAAATCCACAAAGTATCAACGTAACAAAGAACGTAACACAGTAACGAGGAACAGAGTGACACACAGTTTATAATATCACACGGGGACGCCACGCCGCGCGCGGGCGTCGCCGCATTCGACTACCGCGCCGCGTAATATGGTACAGGGTCGCTATATACACGCGCGCACGCTACGCACAGACGGGCGCGGCTCACGGGGCGTGCAGGGGCGGCGCTCCGTCACACAGTGGTCTCGCGGTCCACGTGGATGTACTCGACGGAGCGCTCGCGACGTCAGGACGACGCTGCGGACGAGGCGCGCGACGCGTCGTACAGCAGCTCCTCGGTGAGGCGGCGGCCGGCCGCCAGCGCGCCGAGCAGCTGCTTGTCGGCGCGCCGCGCCCGCCGCCGGCGCAGCGCCGCCGCGCACACGAGCGCCAGCAGCGAGGCGGCGGCCGCGACGCCCGCCGCCGCGCCCGCCACCGCCGGCGCGGCCAGCGCGGCCAGCAGCCGCGCGCCGGTGCCGCAGCCGCCGGCCTCGTCGCCGCCGCCCGGGCAGTCGGGCTCGCCGTCGCACCACAGCTCGGCCTCCATGCAGGCGCCGAGCGCGGCGCAGGGGTGCGCGCAGTGCGCGGACGCGTTGGGCCAGGCGTCGGCGGCGGCGGCGGCGGCGGCGGCGGCGGCGGCGGCGGCGAGGCGCTGCAGCGCGGGCGCGGGCCCGGCGCGCCACACCTCCATCCAGGCGAAGTGCGCGCGGCCGGGCTCGCGCGCCGCCCACACCAGCAGCAGCGCCGCGGGCCGCGCGCCGCGCCCCCACCAGTCGTCCGTGAACACCTGCACGGCGCGCGCCTCCGCGCCGCCCGGGCACACCGTGCGCACCAGCCTGTCCGCAACCATTACTCTGGCTCAATGCATACTATCATTGAAGCTGAAACTTAATCAAATCTACTGAATATATAAAATTCCCACATATATAAAATACGAGTAGTAGACTATACAGAAAACGTAATGATACAATAAATTCTACAACATGATACTATTATATGGACTATTTCCAGCATTGGACCAATTTTAATGATTGCTTTAAGAATAACTTCAGTACTAAGAAGGGACGTAACTGGAACTTAGGCGTACTTCCAAGAGTCTACTCTGACGCTACTTACCGAGAACTATGAGCTTCGTAGACGAGGATACGATTCAAAGTGTGACATGGAGGAGGGTCAGAGTTGGCCACCGTAGCCGGCAACTCGTCACCCCAGACACGCAAAAACACAGACCGATTACCACGTGCCGCCAGTAAAAACGGAGTTTCCTCGCATTCCGACATGCTGTTGTCTCTGTATAATAAACATAATAAAACGTAAAAATACTGTAATATCTAAATATAAGTTAATTAAACTTATATTTAAATACAGGAACAATTATTTGTAATATAATTTATATTATGCTCACATATAAGGATAAAGCAAATGAACTCTTTGTCCGGGAGGTGGTAAACGTCGACGTGCAGCACATGGTGGTGAATATCCAGAAACATGGGACCACGTGCCTCGGAATTGCACATGCCTGTGGTCTTCGGCTGGTAATAGCGATCTAGCCACTAACTCTAACTCTAGCGCCCCTCCCGCTGACTCTAATCGCAATGGTGTGCTACTATTATCGCACACACAAGCTATTGGAACCTGCAACATAAAATGTTACGTTATACAGCCCTTGTTTGATCTCTTTGAGTTAAAAAATATTGTTTTAATTTACTACGCTACACTCACCCTGTATCCTGGCCATGGTGATTCATATATTCGAAGATGTGGAACACGTAATGGAACTTCCATATCATCATCTAAATCACTAAACTCATTTTCTGACATATCCGCATCGACCGCCTCCAATCGTGGTTCCACTGGATCTACCACACAAGTGGACCGCCCCGTCAGTGTATCGGATCGTGTAGAACACATTGGTTCCCGACCGAAAGTTGCCGCAGTCAAATCAAGTACGATACGGCCACTGGGTGCCTGAAGTCGATATATACAGCGTAGCCTGCGAGCTCCTCCACGTCCAAACCAAAGAGCGTTGCGTGGTGAAGCAAAAGCACCCGGTATATTCAATATACGTGCACATTCGCTTGGTATAGCACGAGTTCCTCTTCCGTTGTCCAGCAATGGAGCTCCTTCTAACCGTGCATCTATGAATTCATAATGTAGAGCGAATGCAAGAGGATGTGTAGCCGTTCCTGGTAAAGAAGTTGCAGCCAAGGATAACAGTGGCGCGGCTGATACATAACCGTCCGGCGGTGCACAAGGACGCGGTGACCTCGTAGCGTTAGCGAGTGCGGCTCGCGCACATAAAGCAGGCGCCACATCACAATAGTGACCTAACAGTAAAGCGCCTGCTTCACCTGCTCCTCCACCATCCCAGATGCGCAACTCTACTGCACAAACACCACTCCCTTCACGACCCTCACGCCCCGCAGTAGGGGGTGGCAAAGTCCGTGGCATTGGAGGTCCATTGCCATTTTCTTCCTCTCGTTCTCCACTCTCAATTCGACGTGGTTCAACTAACGAGTAATGTGTAAAGCTGGAGAAATAGATCCAAACAAGATCCCCTGTGGAAATATTGTTTATTTAATTTTATATCAAATATAGGCAAAATTTAAATATTTTTCATTACAATATACTGACCTGGACGTCCGTGAAATGTCCATGTACAGGTAGTGTTGGGAGGTAACGTGTGAGCGGGAGCACGTAGTCGTCCTCGCCTGCCGCGTCCGCCGCTTGCGAGCGTCGAGTTCGTATCCTCCTCGGATGACGATGCTTTCACATGAAACTCGCAGCGTCGCGCTTCTCTGCAAAAAATGTTAGCATCATCAGACAATACTTTTTGTGTTTTAAAATTATCTCATTAAATGTAAGTATTACGTAGAATTATTTATACAATTCAGCTGGAAACCATCGCTCACCTCGCATAATCAAGTGAATCTGAATCTGCAAACACTACGTCAACATCTAACTCAAAACCACGAAGAGGCGCCGCTGGAACGGCAGGCCTCAAGGGTGCACTGAACGGTGACGAGTGGAAGGCGACAAGCATCTCAGGGCCGCGCGACGTGACCCGTGGCAGCCAGTCGCCGCCGCAGTACTCCACCAGCACCGGATCGTCAGTAGATGCCCCATCGTAGAATATGAGGCGGTCTCGCTCGCCCGTGCACTCTCGCCATGCACGCACCACCCGCCCAGTTTTGTTTAAACTGGATTTGAATATACAATATATGTTGTTATAATATATTAGAATGATCTATATTTTTTTTTTTTTTTTTTTTTTTTTTTTCATACTATATGTACGAAATACAAATATGACAAAGGTACGGTTTTACAATTTTCTTCTGGTAACTGAAGAAATTCAAAAACCCATTTTTTTTTTTTTTTTTTTTAGCATTCTTCGACTATTTATTTACGTTAATATCCACCTCAAATGCTTTTCAGGTCAGACCTTTGTCTACTATCAGCGAAATTACTATTAATGTACGTTACTAAAAGCCGACTAATGAAACCTGTATTAAATGTTGTTTATTGTAAATCGCGCATATCTATTTTTACTATTTCTGTCGAAACCTTTGAATTGTATATATTAATGAATATTGTCTTATGGTTTTAAAATTCATAGAATTGTTATAAAAAAAAAACATAAACAGTGTTTAAAAAAAGGGCAATATACACAAAATGTTAATACATGACAAAATATCTGAAAATGAGTGAACCGCGGGTACTCAGAGTTTAAATCATACAATTTTATAAAACGTCTAACTACTCTATCTATATACGAATATGTATTAAAATAACACAACTCACCTAGCCATTGATATGGAGCGTTTTATTTGCATTTTGTGTGAGTATTCCTGTCGAACCGAAATCATCGCATGTTTACACGTAGGTATATCCTTCTGACGCAAGCTCCAGTAACATGTAACGTTCCTGGTGAAAGAAGTAATAAATAATTCTCATATTACTGCAAATTTAATAATCTACGAGTGTATATATCCATTACATAGCTTTGCATAATACATGCCTCGGATACATGCCGGGATAATTAGGACTCTGAAGTCGACAGGGCTTCCGATGGCACTCCTCGTAAGTACGCGTACAGTAAGTGCCCGGGGAAACCGCGCCACGCTCTATGGGTGCTTCCATCGCCCCGAATCTGTGTGCATAAGTAATGTAGAGAAATAGGAAAACATTTTTACGTACATGAATAATTCATGGACTAAAATATACCTGACTACGGCGTCTCGCTGAGCCAGAAATTTATATCGCAGTTGAAAGCCGAACGGCTCGCCGAGCCGCGCGCGGAATAACTTGACGGAGACGGTAACGGTGGCGGTCTCGCTGTAGTAGAGCGCGGCGCCGTCCGCCTCGCCGCACCACGAGCCGCCGGTAAAGGGCCGGCCCAGCTCGGACAGCTGCATGTAGCCGTCCGGGCAGCCGTCCAGCGCGCCCGCCTCGTAGCGGCCCACGCGGAACTTGTCGAACGCGAGCTGCACCAGGTCGCCGTGCGCGCCGCCGCCCGCCGTGAACGTCAGGTGGCACAGGAAGGGCGCGCGCGGCGCCTGGCGCACCGCCACCGCGTACGCGACGCCCGCGCGCCCGTAGTACGTGCGGTTGCACACGGTGCAGTGCGGCGGCTCGTCGCTGCCGTCCGCGCAGTGCGGCCGCTCGTCGCAGTACGCGTCCAGCCGCACGCACTCCCCGCTGCGGCACGCGAACTCGGCCACGCCGCAGCCGCCGGCCGCGCCGCGCACCGCCGCCAGCGCCAGCGCCAGCAGCACGCGCATCGCCCACATCGCACTACGCGCCTCGCGCCGCTCGCCGCTCGCCGCTCGCCGCTCGCCGCTCGCCGCTGCACAGCTCGCACTCGTGCTCGCTATCGAACACCTCGCTTCCTCATGCTCACGAGTCCGTCACACACACGGCACCGGTCGCCGAGCGGCCGCCGGCGGCTATCTCCGCTGTCAGCGGGAGCGGATTCTTCCGCCCACTACTTGTGACATGAAGGGCAGCTGGAAGAGAAACATGTTCGCTTACAACGTACATTAATATAATCATACTATCATTTTCACGGGAATTGGAAATAAGAAAACCGATGAAATAGATCTCTTCTACTCGTTGATAGCGTATCAACGTACAACATCACATACAGCCGCATACAATTCAATATATTTACTCTACAGAAGCTGCTTTAACTGCAAATCATGGCTATTGTGTCGTCTGTGTTCAGTTATAGATTAATAATACTTTGATAGATAGATAATTTATTACCATTACTTACAGCACACAAATTACAATACAAACATACACATAATACACAGTAAAAGAGATAAAAGAATGAAAATAAAAAAAAACAGAACAGAAAAAAAAAACAAAAAAAGGGGGAAAAGAGATTTCATAATTCAAAAGTAGTGCATGATACAATGTGTAATGCATGGTATAATGATAGTTGTAAACCACTGTTTCGGAAATTAATATTTTGGACGTTTGTCAATTCTCATCGACGAACTGAAAAAAGAGAAGCGAGGTGACACGCCTCAAACACAAACTAGACCAAATGTCATGAACGAATTATACCAGCCGCAATGCCACTACATTATTGCTGAATTATTATATACACATGAATTGTTATTATCAAGTATTTTATTTTATTATTATTATTTAATTTTACATTTCTGCTACATGTTCAACGGGCTTTTTAGACGGTAAGAAATTGGAATTTAAGCACCTTCCGTTGTCAGATTGATCTGAAATTTGGTACACACATTTAATTTAGATGACAATACAATATATAATAAAATCAATAACATTATAAATCTAAGATGGCCGCCGATACAAAAATGATTACACACCCCGCAATATGGGTATCAAATTTTATACACTAGTAAAACACGATGATTATGTCAAAATTTAAAATTCAAGATGGACGCCGTTCCAATATGGCGGACTAGGTACATATTTTTCCACAACCACCACAATAGGGTATCAAATAATAGGACTACACTGAGACACCCAGACACTAGACACTCGGACACTAGACACTCAGACGCTAGACCTCAGACACTTGACACTCAGACACTAGACACTAGACACACAGACACTAGACACTCGAAACTCGACACTCGACACTAGACACTCGACACTCGACACTAGACACTTCGACACTCGACACTCAGACACTAAACACCAGACACTAGACACTCAGACACTCGACACTCGACGTCACTCAACAGTCGACACTCGACACTCGACACTCGACACTCGACACCCGACACTCGACACCCGACACTCGACACTCGACACTCGACACTCGACACTCGACACTAAACACTAGACACTAGACACTAGACACTCAGACACTGGACACTCAGACACTAGACACTCGACACTCGACACTCGACACTCAAATACTAAACACTAGACACTAGACACTCCGACACTCGGATATAAGACACTCAGACACTAGATTCTCAGACACCAGACACTAGACCCTCAGACACTAGACACTCAGACACTCAGACCCTAGACACAGACACTAGACACTCGGATACAAGACACTCAGACACTAGACACTCGGACACTAGACACTCAGACACTAGACACTCGACACTCGACACTCAGACACTAAACACCAGACACAAGACACTCAGACACTCGACACTCGACGTCACTCGACACTCGACACTCGACACTCGACACTCGACACTCGACACCCGACACTCGACACCCGACACTCGACACTCGACACTAAACGTCTAGTGTTTAGTGTCGACTAGACACTAGACACTCAGACACTGGACACTCAGACACTAGACACTCGACACTCGACACTCGACACTCAGACACTCGACACTCAAATACTAAACACTAGACACAAGACACTCCGACACTCGGATATAAGACACTCAGACACTAGATTCTCAGACACCAGACACTAGACCCTCAGACACTAGACACTCAGACACTCAGACCCTAGACACACATACTCTATACACTCGGATACAAGTCACTCAGACTCTCGACACTCGACACCTGACACTCGACACTCGACACTCGACACTCGACACTCAGACACTAAACACTAGACACTAGACACTCAGACACTCGACACTCAGACACTAGACACTCGACACTCGACACTCGACACTCAAATACTAAACACTAGACACTAGACACTCCGACACTCGGATATAAGACACTCAGGCACTTGACACTCAGACACCCAGACACTAGACACTCAGACACTAGACACTCGAAACTCGACACTCGACACTCGACACTCGACACTCGACACTCGACACTCGACACTCGACACTTAGACACAAGACACTCAGACACTCGACACTCAGACACTAGACACTAGACACTCGTCACTAGACACTCGACACTCGACACTCGACACTCGACACTCGACACTCGACACTCGACACTCAAACTAGACACTAGACACTAGACACTAGACACTCGACACTCAGACACTCGACACTCAGACACTAGACACTCGACACTCGACACTCAGATACTAAACACTAGACACTAGACACTCAGACATCCAGATACTAGACACTCAGACACTGGACACTCGGATACAAGACACTCAGACACTAGACTCTCAGACACTTGACTCTCAGACACCTTTTTGGCCTCAGTTCCGTCGAACCCAAATGTACGAAACAGATATATCATCAGTTTTAATTGACTTTGGCACAGACGGCATGCACGTTATTTACCCTAAAGCCATACAGTTTCCAGCAAAATTCAATTATGGTACGGCTGAAAAAAGGATGTTGCCCTTAGTTTTGTCATGAGCATTCACCGTCCATAAAATGCAGGTCAGCACCGTCGACCATGCAGTAGTATATTTGGGCTCAAAATGGTTTGAGGAAGGACAAGCATACGTGGCTCTAAGTCGAGTCAAGTCTCTGGAAGGGCTATGTATTGAGGAATTAGATTGTACTAAATTATCAGGTAAGAAACCATATAATAATGATGCACTGAATGAATTAAATAGAATGAGGAATATTCGGTAAACAATTTCACTAAATACTAAAAGCAAGAAAATAAAAATCGGTAAAAAAACTTTTAAGTTAAACGGTTTTATTTTATGTGCACTGAAAACTACAAAATAAATAAATAGTTACTTACCTATCAACCTACGTAGGTGATCTCGGTCATTAATATCTCTGATGGTAGTGGTTGTCATAACATGAACCATGTCAGCGGCCGAAAGGCAGTTCATGAGAGAACACTAACACCAGGGTTTGCTTGGTAGGTAAACTAAGCAGCCCACACTATAACAAGTAGGTATTTTGACCTTCTAGTTCAGAAATATTTTAGTACTAGGCAGAATAGCTTTTAGGCATATTAGACTAAAATAAAAACGTGGGGCCCCTCTGAAATCATACCTATAGCAGAGCATATCTTATACTTTGGTAGATCATGAGCTCGGCGTTCGTTGGTGAAGCCGTAACGGCTGGTTATTGATGGTCAAAACCTCCAGTTACGATTATAGTAAGTCGATTCAGCGGACCCTGGACTCCGGAGCTATGAGATTTCGGATGCGACCGGGATAAACCGCTAGGATGATGATGATGACGATTATAATAAGTCGATGTAATCCACACTTAGTATAGTATAAAATAATACAGAAATAGTTAATGGGCCCCACGTTTTTATTTTAGTCTAATATGCCTAAAAGCTATTCTGCCTAGTACTAAAATATTTCTGAACTAGAAGGTCAAAATACCTACTTGTTATAGTGTGGGCTGCTTAGTTTACCTACCAAGCAACCCCTGGTGTTAGTGTTCTCTCATGAACTGCCTTTCGGCCGCTGACATGGTTCATGTTATGACAACCACTACCATCAGAGATATTAATGACCGAGATCACCTACGTAGGTTGATAGGTAAGTAACTATTTATTTATTTTGTAGTTTTCAGTGCACATAAAATAAAACCGTTTAACTTAAAAGTTTTTTTACCGATTTTTATTTAATTATACGAAACTGAACTCTCAATATTAAACAACTCATCGACGAATAGTCGATGCACCGTTTTCATGCGCTGTTCATAACATTACATCTAGTTCCAGAGATTCAAACGATGACTTTACGTTTTAAACAAGTACACTCCGTTTCGCAAATTAAAAACACGATTGTCCT